TAAATGTAAATATCAAGATGAAGTTAGATTTATTTACACTGGACAACAACACCACGTTAAGGTGCGGTCAGAAATCTGTTGATCTAGTCGAAGCTGGGTTCTACAACCAATTTACTTTTCACAGCAAAAAGGAACTGTTTCTGAAACAAGCGAAACATCCACTATATGTTAGTCTACGTGAAATCGCTAATTATAGTATAGGAACATTATTAAAGTCACGGTCATTTTACATCAAACGTTGGAAAGCTGAAAGCATGGTCCATAGCTGTTCGGGATGAAAGGGGCTGAGACAAGTCAACCGTCCACCCATATCTGCGCCGCGACACGGCTCTTGAAGACACCCAACTTTAAAATATTTAGCCTCCAACAACATGATTGCCCTTGGGATATAACTAAGGAGCTACATCAGTCTTGTCACTGACCTCGAGTATTTTACCTGAGTAACTAATAACCTTGGTCAATGCTGTTGATTCGTTTTAAAATTAAAAAGCGCGTTTTGTTCTTCGTCGCGAGAAAACTATACTCTTTATCAGTATTAACTGTGTTTGATACGTTGTACTTGTGGTTGACACAACTGCGATCTAACTCACGTCAACAGGGCGCTATTATTTCTTGCAAATTTCAAGTGCAGGCAATTACGTAACACCTATTCCAATTGCTTGTCCGAAGCGGTCTCTGAAGGTTTTGTTATTACAAACTGGTAGGCGGCAAACTTATTTACTGACGATCGTCATGACATGGCTATCACCAGGGTTTGCAGTAGTCGGTTTACCAGACTTTAGCCCTTCGCGCACGGGCAGCCATCACTGTTGGACCGCGATCAGTAAACCGAAACTGTCTTGCTGTAGGCCGTTCCGCTAACCACCACTCGTAGACGCGCTGAATAGGAAGTAGAGGGGCCGTGTTCAGCTCTTGCCTTTGTCAGTAACCTATCCAAATCACGCTGATTTAGTACAGTGATAAGGCAGTGAAAAACAACGTAAAGCTGCCATGTAACGAGTGCCACACATACAACCGTACTGTGACCCTAGTTCCTAAGAAGGGTTAGGTTGCCCCGTCAGCTAGATGCCACTTCAACACATTCTGTCAGTACCAGTAACTCCACTTTTAGGTAACAGTTGTTGTTACTGCATCAAAATACGGCAACTGTACATTGGCAAGTTGAATAACCACTCAGAGTGAAAGATGATCATGAAGTCAGTTGTAATATCAATGAATGTGACGTGGTAAAATAATACGACCGAACCCATTTGGCGGACTAGACTTTTTCAATAATTTTGCGCCAGGTAGCTGGACATTTATTGAAAAAAATACGGACAAGGGCATAGAAACAGGGAAATATGAAAACATCTACACTAAAAAAATAAGAATCCATGACATCAAGCACGTCGTACTGTCACTGAATCAAAAACTCCACTGTCAGCCGCACAATTTGAGGGGAAATCGAAGAGAGCTTGGGCTGAGTGAACAGACGGCTACGAATAAAACTGCTTAGACAACTAGGAATTCTAAAAAATTGCCACGCATTTAGGAAGCGGCTACCGGGTGATATAAAGATCAGAGATATAACAGCAATCTAACAGATTAAGGCTGGGAGTCCTAATTACAAAATATACACGTACAATCGGGTTACTAAACCGTACTTTCGCTGAGAGTAAATGTATCGTGTCGACGGGCTCTTCGTATTATTTCTTATACGGGAACCTGTACAAGTGGTATAAGCTATACCGCAAGGCCACATAAACAGCCATGATTTTGAAGCTGTTTTGCAAAGATAGTAGGTATCTGCCGACGGACTGCTTGCCTAGACTCATATATTAGATAAGCCTCCATAACCTGATGGATATAAATTAAGCAGTGATCTAAGCAGGCAAGTGTGCCGTGTGCTGGAAATTCAGGACCTTTGAGCTTGGTATGCAGAAAGTCCAACAGGCTGCCAACATGAACTGTTGACTTTTACGACTTCCATATACTACTTTAGAGGAATTAACGGATATACTCCATATAACTCAAATCATATTAAAAGACAAATTTGTAGGCATTTACGAAAATCTCACCTGCAGATCCAGGGGTAGGGTCGTCACGCATGGGCTATAAAAAGTCGTTTGTTGACATGTCTTCTGGAAAAGGGATCGCAAACCTATTCGCCGCGTTCGTGACGAAGAAGCATGTTCCTGCCACAAAGCCTGTACCCGCTGAGTTCACGAACTGCTCGTTCAGCTTCTGAATTCGACGGAAGAACTACCATAGCTTCACCCATGGGATGGCCTCTTGCATCACGACGAAGCCTAACAGAACCAGGGAGAGGATAATATTGACGGAAAATATCTAAAAGCATCTCAGGAGATGCTGCTGGAGAAAGGTTGCTAATGTATAACGGCACGCCTCTAGGGAAATCCGGTCGTACGGGTGGCAAGCCACTTGGGTGTGGAGGGCGCGGTGGCCGAGAACCTCCAAATGGTTCCGGTCGACGCTGGAAAGACTCTGGACGATTGGGAGGACCATTTTTGTCATCAAAGAATGGAGGCCTCATTTGAGATGGAGGCCGAAATCTTGGAGAATCACTTGGATATGGTTGGTGCGGTAGAAATCGGTTGTCCCGTACAGGGGGCCGAAATTCGCGAGTTTCTCGCTCCGCACTGCTTGGTTGATGAGGACGGGGATAGGTATCACTTTGAACGGGCGAATCGGAGCCGGAAACTTCGTGCAACTTGCTTTCGTATTCTGACCTTGTAATAGCTTGCATAGATATTTCAGAGTTCGACTCCCTAAGCTTCGCTTCTGAAGCTGAATAGTCAGACATCGCCTTCTTACAGTTGCTCTCGCTGATGAAGTCTATTAGGGCAGTTCTACCGCCAGATACCGTGCGAATGGCATCACCAGGAATTATGACACTGGGAAAGAGGCGAGAAATTTCAAATGGCTTCATTGCTCTGGAAAAGCCGGACACCATTGCGCAAGTCTTTGGAGTTGATGTTGGTGGTTGGCTAGGAACTACTGGTTGTTGTTTTGGTTCGGGTCGAGGAACACTGGGTCTACTATCTGGCGCTTTTGGGGCTGACCTTGAGGTAAAGAAATCGTACTGGAGTCGCGATATGGCTAGTAAACGCACTGGACTTCCTTGATTACCTCTAAATGGCCTTGGCCTCGCACTCAGGAGGATGTCAAGGTCCTTAGGAGATGGGAGGCGGATGATAGCGTGAAGACTCTTTGACTCGCCATAATTTTGGGAAATAATTGCTACGTCACTAACCTTAAGACCAGGAGCGCCAAGAAAAGCGACAACTTCTGGTGGAGTGGCATCAGGTGGTAAGTCACAAATTTCCAAACAGCCATCAGCAAAGTAAGGTGGCTTTACAGTAGACCGAGGTGGAATTTTTTTATGTACGTCTGGTGGACATTTCATCTCAAAGTTCGTATCAGTGACACGATAAAATTCTTCGGGAGAGGATGCTGCGACCTTTACAGGCTTGCCCTTGTAGCTCGTTCCATTGAAACTCAATGCTCGTTCCATCGATTCGTGGCCATTCATCATTACGTATACATATCCGGTAAACCGCTTCAACACATCTTCCTCTAGGCGAATTCCCCACCGAGGTATGATGCTGACGCCCTGTAAGATGTCAAAGATGGCTTTTACCGAAACATCTGGTGGGTGCAGCAAGACCTTCGAAACAAAATTCGTATCAGAACCCAGCTCCTGGGATATCGGTCCTGGGCGCATTCGTTTAAATGGAGGCGTCTGACCCACTTTTTCGGACTCATCGAATTGTGGCGGCCTCTTTGGAAACGCGGGCTCCTCTCCCAGCCAGGGTGGACGGACGGAAAAGTCGCGTTCTTCAGATTTTCGTGGGACTGGAGGTTCTCTTGACTGGCGATCCGGTGGCGGTATTCTATCTTGAACACGATTATCGTAGCCCCTAGGGGGAACATCGGTGTTATAAGGTGGATTCTGGTAGGCCATTTGGTCAGCCGAGTGATCATTTTGCGGCGGTAAGCGGTTAACAGGGCTCGTGAATTCATGACAAGCAAGATTCTCCTGTGGTTTTCTATCTGCGTAAGCACTGTCATACGGGGCATAGCCATAATCCACTCTTTGTTCAGGAAACGTGGATGGCGTCGAGGACAATCGGTTAACTGATAGTGCCGAACCTTCTGGGTTGGAAGGACGAGACTGATATTCTGAAGCAACTTCGTTGTTGGTATTAGGAAAGGGAGCTTGTTTAAAGGGCTCTGAAGGAATGCGTTCAGAGCTACTATGAGACCACTGACGAGGCTCGTAGTCGAACTTGGAGCGGTCAGCATAAGGTGGTTGACTGCCCGTGGGAGCCACTGATGGTTGACTTATCCTATTGAATTGCATGCTGGTGCTCGATACGGAGTCAGGAGTCGGCCGAGCGTTAGACTGAAAAGAATCAGGAATAGCCGGATGGGGTGGATACCCATAGCTCGCATGGGGGTCATGTGAGATAATCTTCTCGGAGGAGTGGGCAGACCCGTTGTATGATGGGACAGACTGGACAGTTTCCGGTATTTTTGAGAATTCGGGACGACTTAGGTGACTGACTTGCAGGGGCTGGGTGTTGCCGGTCGGAAACATGACAGAATTACGAGCCGATTCAATCACCGACTGCATTTCAGCTTTGCTGCTCAAAAACAACCGAATTACAGCAGAATTAATGGTTTGTCGATCAAGCAGCATAGCTTTACGCGCATCTTCGTCGGTGGCGAAGGCGATGAACGCATCACCGTCGTC